GCTGTCCCGTGGCACTGCACGCTGCGCGCATTAGCTGCGTCTGCTGCTGTTGCTGCTGCTGCTGCTGCTGCAGGGGGACCCTCAGTTTGGGTTGGGCGTGTGCGCGGAGGAGCAGCAGGGCGGCGCAGCTCGTGCTGCAGCAGCGCAGCTGCGTTCGCTGGAGGCAGCAGCTCTTGCTGCGCTGCTGCAGCAGGCAGAGGGTTTTGCTGCTCCGCTGCAGGTGACTGAACGCATTGGCCCTGCAACAAAACAGACGCAGCAGCAGCTGCTGCTGCTGCTGCGCGAAGAGCTGCCGGGGTGGCAGGCGCTGGCTCCTGCGCTGGACGAGGTGTCTGTACACCTGAACATCGATGCTGCTGAGTGTGCTGCGCTCGCCTACGACGCTGTTGCTGCAGCAGAAGCAGCAGCAGCAGCAGCAGCAGCAGGAGGGGAGGTCTACTGGCACCCGCTGCTGCCTCTCCGCGCGCTGCAGCGGGAGCAGCACTTCCAGCTGCTGTGTCTGCGCACTTTGGCCGGTTTGCTGCACCCCGAGGGAGCTGCTACTTTGAACGCAGCAGCAGCAGAAGCAGCAGCAGCAGCAACGGAAGGAGCAGCAGCAGCAAAACAACCGAATGTCGCGCTGGCTTTCTTTTGCGTGCTGCTGCAGCGGGGGCTGCTGGACGCGCTGATAGAGAAGCTGGAGGCGCTGATGCGTGCTGCTGCTGCTGCTGCAGCAACGGAGGCCTCGCAGCAGCAGCAGCTGCTGCTGCAGCAGCAGCGGCAGCAGCAGCAGGGCCTCGCGCTGCAGAACGCCGCCGCTGCAGCTGACGGGGACGGCGCTGCTGCAGTGGTTGCAGCAGCAGCAGCCGCTGCTGCTGCAACGGGCATTGAAGCGGAAGCAGCAGCACTCACGGCGAAGCACAGCACGGAGTGCATCTGGGCCATTACTGACTTGCTGCTGCTGCTGCTCAGCAGCTTCCATGCTTCCTCGAACCAGCTGCAGCGGCTGCTGCTGCTGCTGCCCCACATTGTGTCTCCTGCTGCACTTCCTGCGGGACGCCGCGCAGCTTCAGCGCAGGACTTTGACTCCAGGGCGCAGCAGCAGCTGCAGCAGGAGCAGCAGCAGGAGCAGCAGCAGGAGCAGCAGCAGTCCCAGCAGCAGCAGTTCCAGCTGGCGGTGCCCGCCGACGCGCAGCAGAAGCTGCAGCAGGAGCAGCAAGACCAGCAGCAGCAGCAGCAGCAGCAGCAGCAGCGGCAGCAGCGGCTGCTGTCCACCCGGATTTGCGAACTGGTGCTGATCATTCTGCAGCCGAAGCTGCTGCGGTGGGTAGTGCCTGCGGGCTCTGGCCCCTCCCTTTTCAGCCGCCAGCAGCAGCAGCAGCAGCAGCAGCAGCAGCAGCAGCAGAGCGTGCTGCAGCAGCTAGAAGACTTCAAAGCCCCCACACTCACGGACTTCGGGCTGCTGTCGCCTCCCGGAGAAGTCGAAGGCCTGACAGCAGCAGATAAGCAGCAGCTGCAGCACTTGGCGGAGGACGTGGGCAAGACACGCAAGCTCATACAAACGCTGCAGCAGCAGGTGAGCAGCAGCAGCAGCTGCTGCTGCTGCCGGTGCTGCTGCTGCTGCGGCGCT